TCCTAATAAATTTTCATCATCTGACACGAATTTTGAGGCAATATTTTGAGCAAAGAATATTCAAATATTGATAAGAAGTCATCCAAAGCTCAGATTTCAGTAAATTTATAGTCAAACTGACCAACTGGATGAGACGGATCTAATGATATCAAAGTTAGTCCAATTCGAGTCAAATCAAGCCCAAATTAAGTGATTAAATCATTCTTGGAGGATGTTTGGAGGCATTTGAAAGGTCAAATAGATGACAGATCTAGCGAGTCCATAGTCAAATCGAGTGTCTCGACAAGGCGAATCCAACGAGCTCAATATTGCTCAATTTTGACATCGTTAAGGCACTCAAATGTCTATCCGACATTATCTGATCGAGGAAAGCTCTCCGGACCGTCCGATCAAAATGGTTCATATTCTTGCATTAATTACACCCAAAACCATATAAATAGAGCCCTTCATCGACCACTGCTGACTATACGTTAGCAAGTCGACGTTGTAACTTGAAAAACTAGTAACTCTTTTCTGCATCGACGTTGTAACTTGGAAAACTAGTAACTCTTTTCTGCATGTGGGACAAAGGGCATCTGTAATCAACTTATAGTGGATTTTTATAACTGGGCCAGACCCCGTGCCCTTTCCCCTTTACAGGTTCTTCATGTAAAAAACTTATGGTGTTATCACAGATTATTTTTCCATTTATCTGAGTGTATGTTGAACCCTCATGTAACGCTAAGAAGATAATCCATTACTCTACCGCCGCAAATTTTCTAGCACGCATCAAGACTATAGATTAAAATAGTTGAGAACTATTTTGATAATTTTATAAATTAGAGATTATTGAGGAACTTTACTCTAAACTATAAAATGTGTACATTAAATTTTAATTGAATTGAATTTATATTCTATATAATTTTAAAAAAAATAAATAAATTTCATTTATATGAAATATATTTTACAAATATTAACTTTAAAAAATTATTTTATAAATTCATCATTGCATTTATTTGGCATGATTATTATTATTTTATATAAAGCAACGAAAACTTCTACATCTAGTGAATTTACTTTAGGAAGGCAGCGTGAAAGATGGTGGCAAACGGACTGCAGCCGATAAATTAGTTGGGCAATAACGTAATTAATGGATTTTTTTTTTTTGGGCAATTACGTAGAAGAGTATATGAAACTTACTATATACAAATCAACTACCCATTTTTATTTATTTTTTAAATTATCATTTAAATATCAAAATTCATTATTTTTCATTTTTATGAAATTCTCAGTAATTTGATTGTGACGCACATAAATAAATAAGTTTAGAAGTTATTGAGAAATTAGGGCGGAGAAAAACAGAAATCGACACAAATCGAGAAGAACACACAAAGATTTAACGAGGTTCGACAAAGATGCCTAAGTCCTCGGGAGTAGAGCGGTGGCATTCTTTCAATTCCAGAAAAGAGTAAAGCCACAATAGTTCTAGGGTTACGAACAACACATATATATAACATTGACGTACAATAGGTAATTACAAAATTAACATTGTACCGTACCGCGGGCCCCAACCTATATAACGAAACTCCCCATAATTGGATAGATTCTTTCGCTCCGTTTCGTTCCAACATATGTCCCTTATATGGTATATGAGTCATACCTAACAAATCTCCACCTTGGCGAATATCCAACCCCTTTGGAGAAATACATCATGGAGTTTCCTACACGCGGAAGTGGGTTGGGCCATCATGCTTCTCTAGTAACTATCTAGGAATTGCAAACATTCAACAAGTCCAAGCAATGCAAGAACTTGTTGGCTTGGTCAACATATCATCTACATTCTCATCAGTATGAACCTTCTACAACAGTATCTCACCAGAAGCAATCAATTCTCTGATTTTGTGATACCTATGCTTGGTCCTCGCATGATACACATGGTTCTTAGCCAGATAAATGACACTCTGACTGTCACAATGCAACTGAACTCCACCTTGCTCAACGCCCAGTTCTTTTACTAGCCCAACAAGCCATAAGGTTTCTTTTGCAACTTCAGCTAATGTCATGTAATCAGTTTCAATTGTAGATAATGTCACAATAGACTGAATTGTTGATTTCCAACATATAGGCCCTCCACCAAGAGTAAACACATACCCAGTTGTAGACCTTTTGACATCTAAATCACCTGTATAGTCTCAATGAACGTATCCCACAACTGAAGGATCATTCTGCTGACTCTAAAAAATAATTTTGTATCCTACAGTACTCTTCAGATACCTGAAAATCCACTTGACTACTTCCCGATGTCGTCTTCCAGTTTTAGACATCTATTTGCAAACTTGACTAACAACATGAGCCAAAATAGAATGAGTACATACCATTACATGCATCAAGCAGCCAACTGCGCTGGCATATGAAACACTTGTCATGTCTTCGATTTATGTATCTGTTTTAGGACACTGTTGTAACGAAAGCTTAAAATGATTTGCCAATGGAGTGCTCACAGACTTTATTTTGTTCATCTTAAACCTGTCCAGCACTTTCACAACATAGCCTCATAGGGATGAACATAATTGTTTTGAGCCTCTATCTTGATGAATCTCCATTCCAAGAATCTTTTTTGTATGACCCAAGTCTTTTAAGTCAAATTCCTGACTCAACAAAGCTTTCAAATCACGGACATCATTCATATTCTTTGCAGCAATCTGTATATCATCAACATAGTAACAGAAAAATAATAGAACGATCATCAAGGCTCTCCACATAAACATAATAATCATACTCCCATAACTTATAGCCAATCTGAATCATGTGTCATCATACATCTTAATTCTAACTTCACCAATACCAACAATATTGCAATATTTATCATCACGTAAATAGACTGAGTCAGAATTAGTTAACATGTATGAAGTAAGCCACTAAAGAAGTTTTCTAGACCTCAACCAAAAGTGAGGTCAACAAAAACATATCACTATCACTGCAATCTAAATTGTCACTTACGGACTTCGATGAAGTATCACCTTTCTCCTCAGTTTGCTTCTTCGGCTTTGGACAATCTCTCTTCATATGACCTGTCTCCTTGAACTTGTAACAATGAATTGTCCTTTTGCCTTCAGAATTTGATTTGGAATTTTGTCTTTCAGAATCTTCCTTCTCTTTCTTCCTTTCACGATCCTGATTACCATTCACATATAAACTGTCATCATGAGAGCTTCCCCCTGCATTCTGCTTCCGTTGGTTTCGCGCCAACAATGCTAGAGTGATCCCATCAACTTTGATAGTTTTTTTCTCATATGTAAAAATAGTCATCAGGTGTTCATAAGAAAAAAAAACAATAAACACAACAAAATCATTGCTTGATCTTCATCTTCAAAATTCCCATCAAGTCTTGACAAAGTTATGATTTTTTTATTGAAGTCATTCACGTGCTGTGTCAGATCAGAGCCTTCTTGCATCTTCAGCCCATACAGTTTTTGCTTCAGATTTGCTTCAGATACTTCAGATATAATTTATTCGTCAGAGATTTGGACATAAACTGAGTTTCTAATTTCTTTCATACATCACGTGGAAATTTTAGATTCATCAAGTGATACATAACATCATCTGTCAGACATAGACGTATGGTTGCTATCGCTCGTTGTTGCAATTCTTCCCAATATGCATCCTCCTTTGCGTCTGGTTTCGTTCCCCGCAAAGCCTTCAAGATTTCATGTTGTGCCAACAATTCTTTTGATCATTGTTTGCTACAACCTGAAGTTCTCAGTTCCATCGAACTTCACCACCTCAAATTTTGCATCAGAAATGTCATTTGAAGTTGATCCTGCAACAAACTCTTATGCAGATTCCTCTGCTAAGTTTTAAAAAGTCCTTCAGCCAAAAATTCCTTGCTCAAAATCTTTCCAAATGGAAGATTCCTTGATTCTCTTCCATTTTCTTCTCCGCGGGCCAGGAGAAAATTTCCTTTGTTCACCTCCGCAACAGCCTCCAACAAAGGAAATCGAAGGAAGATTCCTTCTAGTGGAATCTCCTCATCTGCTCCATCCTGAAGCCGAACTTTCCTTTCCCGATGCCCCACAACGCCGTCGGGCCGCTTCGCGAAGTTTGTGGCGAGAAGCTCCAATCTGCCGCAAACCACTCCTGCCAGATTTCACGATTCACGGAAGAGTCCTGGATCCTCACTATAGAATCCTCACACGAACTCCCTGCCAATCACCGCACAGCCGTCGCGACCTGTCTACCTTGTCTCTCCCGATCAAACGTGTCGCGATTCGCGAACTCCTCTTCCCGTCGGCTGCGGCGTCGCTACGAATGTCGAACAACTCTTCGCGCGAAACGAGAACCTTACTCTGATACCACTTGTTGAGAAATTATTGCGAAGAAAAACAGAAACCGACACAAATCTAGAAGAACACACAAAGATTAAAAAGGTTCAAAAAAATGTCTGCATCCTCGGGGGACAAAGCGGTGGCTTCCTTTCTATTCCATAAAAGAGTACAAGCTACAATAGTTTTAGGGTTACAAACAACAAATATATATATAACACTGACGTAGTATATGGAACGTTACCCCCGCACCTTCAACCCACATTCCGAAACTCCCCCAATTTGGACAAATTCTTTCGTTCCACTCTGCTCCACTTCTTTCCAGCATCTGTCTCTTATATGGTATATGAGTCATGCCTAACAGAAGTTCAAAAATATCACATAAATTATTAATAAAAAAATATCAATATTTCAAGTGATTTGTATGTGATTATCTTTTTTTTCTTTTAATCCTATTTTATTTTACTATATATATATATATATATTACTAAGAGACATTAACATACACACAATACAATTCTTACACATTTATATATCTAACATCTAAATTTCCATATTTATATTTAAAATACTAAAAATTTTAACATCACAAATACCGCCATAATTAATTATTTAAAAGTAAAATAAAATATGATTTTTCATGCACATATTTAAGAAGGTTAACTATCAAATTTAAGGTATCAATATATGAAATATATAATGAAAAAAGTGAAACAAGAGGTTGGTTGGAAATAAATGAGCAGATTCATCTTTGTCAGCTTTTCCCTTCATGTGAAACTCGTTTTATAAACATAGAACTTAGAAGCTTTCCATACGAAGGATCTTGCGCCTATATAATGCGGCACAGCCTGCAGCTCTTAACCGCACTTCATTGCAGCGAACAATATGGCTCTAACTGTAGTTAACGCTCAGGTTCCTGCTGCTTTGTCTTCTAAGAGGAACATTAGCCAGTGGTAATTCACTGTTAAGGAAACCAAGGGTTTGGAAGGTTGTATCTCCAGTTTCTTCAACTGGTTCAACACGTAATTATCTTGTTGTTAAGGGGTTAATTAACGATAATGTTGCTTTATATGAGGAGGAAATTGAGTCATTTTCTAGTTTGGATCATAAGCCGCATAACATCTTCCCCCCTGACTTCGTTTTTGGTGCTGCCAGCTCTGCTTTCCAGGTTTCATGCAATCTCTCTTTTTCTCTCTATCACTCGAGCAATTATTAGGTGCGGAGTTCGTGCATGTGAATTTCTTCGTATTTTGATTGTATTGATTGTATCAATACAACTAATATAATAACAAATACAACGAAACATGCACAGTTCGTACGTAATAATTTTTTTCGCTCTCTCATTGAGGGTTTTTCATTAGGTGGAAGGAGCAACAAAGGCAGGAGGGAGAGGACCAAGCATATGGGATACATTTTGTGAGAGGTCTCCCGGTCCGAGTTAAAGCATCAATATTATGTCGTGTGGATGACGGCGAAGATTATATTGCGCTGTCGTTTGCACGTTGGTGACGCAAACGCAATATTTTCTTTATTAGAGAAAATATTTGTCTTAATGATGGGCGTGTCAACGACTATCGAACACACGGGGTGATGTGAACCATGTTATTATTTGCAACTCTAATTCACCGGACGTAGTGATATTTATCCTTAATTTTATTCAAGAAGCATGAGTATAAACTATAATATTAGTTATGTATTTCTTATAATGAAATATACAAAAATTTCAGATATATTTGAACCTGCATTAATGACATGAATTTCTTGTTGCTAAATATATAATGAAAAAAGTAATAATAAATCATAAAATTCTTTCAATAAATTAGGATTATTAACTATAATAATATACAAAAAATTCAATTATTTTATGATTTTTTTTTCAGGAAAAATTGCTGATAGATCAAGTGGAGATCCGGGAGCAGGCTCATACTACCGCTATAAAGTATGGATAGGGCTATCAAAAGAGTTAGTTTTCACGAACAGTTCGTGTTCAGTTCGTGAGGGAGTTTGTGTTCAATTCGTTCAATTCGTTCGATAAGCAAACGAGACAAACCTTTTTTTTTTTTTTTGTCTGATTTATTAAACGAACCAAAAACGAACAGAAACAAACCAAACACGGACAATGATGTGTTCGTTCGTGTTCGATTCATTATTGTTCGAAATATAAAATAATTTAAAATTGTTATATATAAAAATTTTAGGATATTTAAAAATAATTATTTGTTATAAAAAATTATCATATTTTAAATAATTTTGCTAAACATAATGGTTGTACTTAAAAATAAGAAATTACATTAATCAGATTTTTTTTAGAAGTAATCATAATTTACGTGACTAATTAAGTTTTTTATGACTTAAGATAATAAAAGTTACATCATTTTATTAATAATGTTATTAAAATCTTAAGTCAAACAAACATTAATTAAGAAAAAAAGTATAAAATTGCTGACGGATTAATGCAATGGAGCAGGCACATTCATACGAACAGCCGCACGAATTTTAAAGAACAATATTATAGACATTTCTTACAATAATTAGTGATTTTTAACTATAATAATATAGAAAAAACTCATTTATTTTATGATTCTTTTTTTCAGGAAAAATTGTCGATAAGTCAACTGGAGATCCGGGAGCAGGCTCATACTACCGCTATAAAGTATGAACACACATTTGGATATATATATATATATATATATTGTATATTTAATATTAAAGAATTTATAAATCCATCTTAGAACTTAAATTAATCTTAATTAAACTGATTAATCTCTACTACCTGTACTTCAGGAAGATGTGCAGCTCTTAGTCGACATAGGCCTCCAAGCTTACAGATTCTCCATCTCTTGGCCAAGAGTACTCCCAAGTACTATAATAACTCAATATATTCTCTTCTCTAATCTTAATTAAGATCTTAATTACAATCTCAGACATGATTAATTCTTTAAGCTTCTTATTAAATTAGCACAAACTAATTAATCTGCAGAGGGCCGTGGCCTGCCCAATCAGGAAGGACTCAAGTACTATCACAATCTGATTGATGAGCTAAAGCTTCATGGTAATTACAATGAAATATGTGAATCTATGTTATGAGGAATTTGGGCATAAAGTGAAGCATTCGATCACAATGAATGAACCTCTGATGTTTGCTAGTCAGGGATATGGCCTTGGGCGGTTGGCTCCTGGCCACTGCACCCCAGACATAGAAATTCCAGGATTTGGTCCTCTTAATTGCCCTGTTGGAGATTCTCTCAGAGAGCCCTATAAAGTTGCTCATACCCTATAAAGTTGCTCATAACTTCTATAAAGTTGCTCATAACTTACTCTTAGCTCATGCAGAAGCAGTAGATCTCTACAAAACCCATTACCAGGTAATTCATAATACTTCCAAGGCAGCTAAATCCAAAAGTTCTGTCAATTTGGGTTTTATACATATAACCTTTAATTAACATGCAATTATGAGATTAAGATGACATGTTTAAGTTTAATTATTGGCTTTGCAGGCTAAGCAAAGGGGAAAAGTGGGAATTACAATAAACTCACATTGGTATGAACCTTATGATGAAAGTCCACTTAATAAAGAGGCGCAACAAAGAGTTCTTGATTTCAATGTAGGATGGTAAGTAATGAATTATAAAGTATATGCATCTAACTGCTTTTACTTAAGTGGAATAACAGATGATTATAACATGAGATATATACATGTATGGTGTGTAATGTTTAGAGAAATTTTATACATAAATGATTTAAGATTAATTTCATGTACAAATCAAGGATTTAGCTTAATTAATTATTGGTTAATGATCAGGTTTTTGGATCCGGTGAAGTTTGGTAATTACCCGTTTTCTATGCGAGCTTTGGTGGGGGATAGACTCCCAATCTTCACGGACGAAGAGTCTGCAAAGCTTAGGGAGTCTTATGATTTTATTGGGGTCAACTATTACACATCAAGATATGTCAAAGACAAGCCTTATAATTATACTATCAAACCACAGACCTGCAATGACGACGTACAGGCCGACACACCAGGGACGTCCACGGTCTGGTTCGCACTACGCTGCCAGATGCACGATATGATGCGATCCACGTCGCCGTTTGCACATCCAAACACACAATTCTATGTATTTACATCACTCACACACAAATCTTCATATTTGCCTGCATATCACTTAATTACATCCATCACATCTAAACTATCACTAATCTTCACTGACATTTGTTTGATTGTATAAATGTAAATTAATTATAATACTCTTCCTGGAATGCAGCTAAGAGAGCTGGGGTGCCCATCGGACCCGCAAAGGTAATTCCTTACAATCTATCTTTTAACATGTAGGACAAAAATTCAAAAAGAGTATTTTTTACAGCTTTAACATAATTTATTTACAAATTTATACATTTGTCTAAATGTGTATGATAAATTCATCATATATTGGCAATTATTATAAAACCAGCTTTGCAAATATACCTCTTTTTATTTGACATGAAATGCAGCCGAAGAGTTGGGTGAATGTGTATCCAAAAGGATTGCGGCACATAAAGCGAAGATACAACAATCCTGCGATTTACATCACTGAAAATGGTGATATTATGTTATTACATCATATTATTATTATTATTTTATATTTATATTGATATTATCACAACATGTTTTGATATGTAGGGGTTCTTGCGTATAATGATGATGGAGTTAACATACCTACTGAAGATATATTCCGGACAGAGTTCCTCACCTCTCACCTTCATGAACTTGAGGATGCCTTAAGGTTAGCTAAAGCTAGCTTACTTCTTCAATGTCTTACCCATCATATATATATATATATAGATATATATAATCTTAATGGAAGATTTACATATGTACCCCTAAATTCCTATGTATTTATGTACGAGAAAAGTGCCGAAATAATTACTGGATTCTTTATAGGGATACGCTATTTTAGCCCTAGAATGTATACAAATGTCAATTTAGTGCGATATATATGTATATACAAATGTCAATGTATGTATGTATGTATGTATGTATGTCAATGTCATAATCTTCATATTGATGAAGCTAAACATATATATTTTGAATTGAAAATTTACAGTAGTAGAGCCAATGTGAAGGGATACTTTGTGTGGTCACTGTTAGACAACTTTGAATGGAGGGATGGCTATACATGCCGGTTCGTTCTGAACCACATCAACTACGACAACTTGCATGAACCGGATCTGAGGAGGACTCCCAAGCAATCTTCTCGTTGGCATATATATATATATATATATATATATAATCATATATCTTCATGTAAGATTTACATATGTACCTCCAAATTCCTATGTATTTACGTACGAGAGAATAGCGTCGAAATAATTATTGGATTCTTTATAGGGATACACTATTTTAGCCCTAGAATGCATACAAATGTCAATTTAGTGTAGGGGTGAGCATTCTGTCGGTTCTGATGGATCGATTTTAAAATTGGTCAAGCCAATTACAACAGAAATTCATAATTTGGAAAACCAAACAAACATAATTTTTTATAAAACCTAATCGAAATTCAATTCGGTTTAAATAATTTGATTATAAGAAAACCAAAATTTATTTTTTTATTGGAATTTGGCTATAAGATAAAGAATTACAAATAATATATCTTATTCGCATTATATTGATTTAATTTCAAGAATCCTCTATTTATTTCAGTCAATATTACATAAAATAAACTTTTTTTTTTATATTTTTCAGTTCAATGAACATGAAATCAAAAAACAATAATTTTTTTTTAAAAAAAATTTCCAATTTACAATTTTTTCAGTTAAGTGAAAATCAAAACAATATTGAAAAACCAAAAAAAAAACGGATATTAAGGATTTAAAAATTAAAAAAAACCAATATCTTATTTTGAAAACGAGCTGAACCAACCAAATTTAATAGGTTCGGTTCGGTTTTTCAATTTTGACCAAATAATGCACACCTTTAATTTAGTCCCCAGACATTTTTAATACCGGTTGAAATAGTTTCTGGGTTGAAATAGTTCCACAGAAAATTATTTCAACCATCACTTGTAAATATATTCTAGGACAAAAAATGATCCCACTAAACCACCATATCTATAATTAAGAATACACATTTCACCTTTTAAAATTAAAATGATGATATTTTTTTATGTGATATGAAAGATTTGAGTGATATAAATGTGAATCAAACCGTTCAGTTATCACATATGTCGGTAATTGAACGCACTAACAATTGTAGCGGCTTAAAATATGTTGCAATGAAAAAAATAATATTTTTTTATTGTTGAAACAGTTTGCATACCCTTTTTTAATATAGGTGATATATATATGTATATAATTGGCTTAATCTTTATATTGATGAAGCTAAAGATATATATTTTGAATTAAAAATTTGCAGTAGTAGAGCCAATGTCAAAGGATACTTTGTGTGGTCAGTTAGACAACTTTGAATGGAGGGATGGCTATACATGCCGGTTCGTTCTGAACCACATCAACTACGACAACTTGCATGAACCGGATCTGAGGAGGACTCCCAAGCAATCTTCTCGTTGGCTTAAACGTTATCTACGTAACATAAACAATACTAAGCCCACAGTACTTCCAGCTCCTATCATATCAGAGCTCGTCAAACCTGTTGTTGCTACTAAAACATAAATATGCATTTGCAGGCTATGCTGATTATGCTAATGTTTTATATCATATATTATGTTGCATGCCTTCTCTGTGTTCTTGAGCAAATAAGGATGGTGATGAGCTCACCTAGTACTGCTTTTATTGTTATTATTATCGTATGTAAGAGTTTAAGTTGTTGAGGAGGCTTGAATAAATCATCTATTTTCACAAATCATCCTAACAAATCTACCCTTGATAAAAGAAATGTAAAAAATATTTTAAGCATTCATCAAAAAGTTTATGGTTTATTAAAAGATGGATTGGACATGAAATCAATACCATGCAATATGATTGAAATGATTTTACTTTTAAAGAACTTTAATAATTATATGAACCAAATGGAAAATTTTGGCCTCTTACACTTCTAAGATTCCTTTAAAAAAATGGAGCAGCAAAAATGAATAATATAACCACACTTTATATGGCAAGAAGAATACTTAAAAATAAGAGGCCAATGAATCACCAATAAAAGGTAAGTGAGAAAAATCACCCAAGGAATCATGGAGCAAAAGATAGTCTTACATTTATCATCTAAGAGTTTCTGAAGTTTAGTTGAAGTGTATGCACCTAATAGGACAAGAAGTAAGCTAAATGATAAGAGCAAGAAGTTTATTTTCATCGCTTATGAAACCTACAGAAATAACCATTCATGGTAAAATCCAAATATTTGAAAGAAAATCATCATATATGATGATGAGGGACTCATAAACACATGATGATTGCTACAATCTTTTCTTATACTTCAAAAGAATTGGAGTTGGAGCAACCAAGGATGGAATAAGTAAGAGAAAAATTTATAACCCCAACAAAAACATCAATTATAACAAATCAAGGAAATTCATATTCACTGTCTTAAATGAGAGTTCAAGTGATAGTGTACTGTATTTCACAAGTTTAAATAGTCTATACAAGTAGTTGGGAATCAAAATAATCATACTCTCATTCATCTCTTTGTCAAAACAGAGCTTATAGGTTTTTAGAAAGTTATAAAAAATAAGAAGCGATATAATACTTTGGAAGAAGAAATCAAAACAATCTAGATAACTAACGAGAAATGGGTGTATTAATCAAAAAAGAAGGTCAAAGTAAAGATATAACACAAGATTAGCAAAAAAAAATCATTGATAGAGTTAGCATAAGCATAACGCTTTTACCATCAATGCTTATTATCATTGATAATGTCGATGCTCACAATCACAACGAACACCGATGCCCGATATCACTAATAGAGACGGCTTCTACTTCATCAATAATACTAAAGTATTCATTGCCAATAATGGCAGAAGCCAGTCATCACTATCATTATCAACACGTCACAACACAAAAGCTGATACAAGTCAATTGCCAACAAATTTAACAGACATTGTCGTCAAAGAGGCAGATGTCTACCAATGACAAAAAAAATTGATGCCCATCATTGCTAATAAAGCTAACAACCTACCTACATTACCACCAAGATAGACAACAACAATTGCTAACAATGTTGAGCCAATCATTTCCCTCAAAGCAAATTCCTCATATCACCACATTACTGAGGCCCAATGTTAACACAGGTCATGCGCTCGCCATCTCTATTAAAGGCATCTTTCCTACCAATTTCACTATTAATATATACTTCTAATTAATTGAATCATTTCATCAGGATGAAGCCCCACAATTTTGCTATCATTTTTCTACATAAAAATCTCATATGTAATATGAGATGCTCTTATATTTGTGTATGAGATTATCATTCAACGCTAAGATGATAAACTTTCACGATATAACATTGAAAGCTCGAGCATGCAAATAACTTAATCAAATCCTTTCGTAGTCTACCAAAGATGTCATGTCAAGAAAGCAAAAATATTGGATGATGATTTGTGGTGGCATCATTAAAGTTTGCATATAAATTCCAAGTTAGCAAGATCAATCCAAATGCATATCAAATCATCAAATAAATAAATAAATAAATAAAAGAAAAAAACAAAAACTCACACAAAGGCTATTGTTACTCTATGTGGGGATCATATAAATCCTCAACAGGTCTCCTCCAATGGCAATATGTTTCCTTGATTTCCACTCAACTATTACATTTGAACTCAGGACGTATGTCCGGAGTCCAATGAATCACCTCCACATAGAGCTGACAGAAAAGAAAACTCGTTTTCTTGTGATCCGGCCCGGTAACACAGGAGAATATTCCTCATGTTATTTCGTGTTATTCAGGTGTTATTTTCGTGGTATTGATGTGTTATTGCGTTATTATAACATCGGGAATATTTCCAAAACACAATAATACATGAATATCATCACAATAATATATGAATAATGCAGAATAACACGTGAGGGAATATTCCCCTGTGCTAAAACAAATTTTTTTTTATTTTTCTCTCACCTCCACATGGCGTGATTTCATTGGACTCCATACATATCTCTACATCCGGAGATCAGGCGTAATATTTGTTCCTTTATATCAGCTTAAACTGCATAAAAAAATTCTAACCAAGCAATATCTTAACAGTCATATATAATAGGGGCATTTAGATAAATACCACACAATTATTATATATTTACATATCTAACACCTAAATTTCAATATTTACTTGCATACCACTCGAATCTTTAACATCACATAAAAAGACCACTATTACTAACTTTTCATGCATAATTTTATAACACTAAAGTGTTATAAAGTAAATATTAGACATTAAGTGTCAGTTATGTATATAATTTTGGCTCAGTCATGTAGGAGTCAAACCGCTTGTATAACACTGTTCAGATATTGTGTTTATGAAACCGAAACATGATTCAGATTGGCTACAAGAGATGTGAGTATGATTATTGTGTTCATGTGAAGAGTTTTGATGATCGTTCTATTATTTTTCTGTTACTGTATATTGATGATATACTGATTGCTGCAAAGAATATGAATGATGTTCATGGTTTGAAAGCTTTATTGAGTCAGGAATTTGACATGAAAGACTTGGGTCCTACGAAGAAGATTCTTGTAATAGAGATTCATCGAGACAGAGGCTCAAGACGATTATGTTTATCTCAACGAGGCTATGTTGAGAAATTGCTGGATAAGAAAGTGCTGGACATGTTTGAGATAAGCAAAGCAAAACCTGTAAGCACTCCTTTGGCAAATCATTTTAAGTTTTCTTCAGAACAGTGTTCTAAGACAGATGCAGAAATTGAAGATATGGCAAAGGTTCCATATGCCAGTGCAGTTGGCTGCTTGATGTATGCAATGATATGTACTCGTCCTGATTTGGCTCATGTTATTAGTCAAGTTTGCAAATACATGGCTAAACCTAGAATGCGACATTAGGAAGCAGTCAAGTGGATTTTCAGGTATCTGAAGGGTACTGTAGGACATGAAATTATTTTTGGCAGTCAGCAAGATGATTCTTTAGTTGTGGGGTACGTTGATTCTGACTATGCTGGTGATTTGGATGACAGAATGTCTAAAACTAGGTGTGTGTTTACTCTTGGTGGATGGTCTATATGTTGGAAATCAACATTTCAGTCTATTGTGACATTATCTATAACTGACGCTGAGTACATGACAGTAGCTGAAACTGCTAAAGAAGCCTTATGGCTTACCGGGCTAGTAAAGGAACTAGGCGTTGAGCAAGGTAGAGTTCAGTTGCATTTTGACAGTCAGAGTGTTATTTATTTGGCTAAGAACCAGATGTACCATGTGAGAACAAAGTACATGGATGTCAGGTATCATGAGATCAGAGAGTTGATTGCTTTTGGTGAGATACTGTTGCAGAAGGTTCATACTGATGAGAATACAACTGATATGTTGACCAAGCTAGTTACTCTCAACAAGTTCTTGCATTGCTTGGACTTGTTGAATGTTTGCAGTTGCTAGAGAAGCATGGTGGCCCAACCCACAGTGGTGCAAGTGTAACTCCTAGGTATCTTTTCTCCTTAGGGGCTGGATATTCACCAAGCTGAAGATTTGTTTTGGTACGACTCATATACCATATAAGGACAGACGCTAGATTGAAGCGGAGCGAAAGAATCTGTCCAAATTGGGAAATTAAGTGGTTTTGGGGTGCGGGGGCAAAGCCCCACGGTACGGTACAGGGGTAATGTTGTAATTACGTATTATACTTAGGGTTTACTCTGGGGTTATAAATAGACCTATTAGTAATCTCAGGAGGCATCCCTCTATTCTGTAACCTCTTTTCTGAATATTGAAAGGAATTCGCCGCTCTGCTCCTGGGGACATAGACATCTTTGCCGAAACTCGTTAAATCTTTTTGTGTTCTTCTGAATTTGTGTCGATTGTTATTTTTCTTCGCTCTAATTTTCTCAAAATAAATCAATTCTAAAAATAAATGATAGTGGTATTTTTTTTTGTGATGTCAACTATTTAAGTGTTATATGTAAATATAAAAGTTTAGGTGTTAGATATGTAAATATATAAAATTTGTGTGGCATGTATATAAATTCCCCTTAAATAAATTCAAGATATGCAAGTTCAATTTTTGAGTGACCCCAAAAAATTCAATATGTTAAGCAACATCATGTTGTGCATTAAAATTATTGCTACCTGAAACTTAAATATTTAGTAATAATTATATATTTTAA